AACTTCATCCCCACAGTTAATTCTGGGCAGTATCCCTGACAAAATTAAGTTATGCCCTCTTTCTTTAAATGCCTTTATCAATCCCTTGTGCTTACTAATTAGCCCCTCTGACCTACCTTTTCCTACATCATTAACCCCTACATGCACCACAAAAATTGCATCTCTGCTAGCCTCCTTTATTACATCTCCTTCTGTCAGTTATATCCTCCACCTGTGCCCCTGGGTAGCATAATCTGATTCTTTTCTCCTTATTTACCCGAAAGACTATTCGATCCACATACCTTGTCAAGGAATCACCTACAACTATAACCTCCTTATCATTCACATCCTTCTCTGACCTTTTTGGTTATCTTCCCTCCAAGGGCAGAAATTTGTTGCTCAACAAAATAAGCTCATTATAACTAAATTCACTACTTTTTTACTCTAATAGTACTGTTACCAACTTCCTGAAAGCCATTGTTATCTGATGTATCCCTTGCATATAAAAGCCTAAACTCCTCCTGAAATCCTGCTACCATTTCCCACAATTACACTTCTCTTTATCTATTACATCTACTTTGATTATGATAGCCTCCAACCTACAAACTCTACATAAAAATTGCACATCTTTATTACTAGCTTCTTTAAAATTACATGCCAGTCCCAAGTTCCAAAATAAAACACACCCATTGGACGTAACAAACTGTGAACACTTAACTCCTATACTAGTCTTAACAATTGTATTTATACTTAATAGCCTGAATATAAATAATACCAAATACCAGTAGCCTATTGTTAACACTGTTACTGTTAAGCGAAACGTTTAATAAAGTTATTTTTTATCACTACTTTGTCTTTACACTAATGCAATAAAATTTATCTTTAATTATATAGAACTTAGAAATAGAGCTTAATACTTTATTATAACAATATATGTAATGTTAATAATAAAATGTATTTCGCCTGATTTATATTATAACCTACCTATATCTATAAGCTGAATTTTATCTAATGGATCTAACTTCAAGTAAACAAGTTAATTTTTAAAACAACAAGAGACACTAAACTAGTTTCAAATTGTATTTATTTAATAAAACATTGTATTTATCATGTTTTACGATTTACCAGTAAGTTGAAATATACCTAAGCCTAAAGTAGCATTATACATACTAAGCCACTTTTAATGTTGTTAAATTTACAACACTTAAGTTAAAACATTGACCATCTTACTTTTATTTAGCAATCTTACTATATCTAGTTATTATTGTGTTATTTAACCCAAATTACTACAAATTATAATGATAATATTAAATTACTTTCAGAAATCTATAAGAGCTTAACTTCTCAATGTTCTCCCTTTTCAGTCACACCCTCAACAGAAAATAACAATTTATTAAACTGTAACATCTTTCTATATTAATAACTATATCAAGTGACAAACAGCTATAAAAAATTGCTAACTATGTCATTCACTATATGTCATTTGATTCAGTTTATGAAGCTTATGGTAGGGTATTTATTCACTGCATTAGGTCACGAGGGTACATCTAGTGTGATCATAGAATTATGTAATCGTTTGCTACATAAATTATATCTGTACATCACCACTAGGGAAACTGGTGTCATTTTTATAATACATAGATATTTACTAAAAATATACATGATCAGCTATAAGGTGAGTTAGTGTTTTAATTTAAATAAAATTCATAGATAAACTAAACTATAAAAGGAATGATAAATGAACAGTAAATAAAACCAAAACAAATAGAATTTGCTGTCTCACAACTTGTGACTGAATGTAGCCTTTCATGTATACAGCAGATAGTAAATGTAATTAGGTTTGCATATGTACATATGAGTGTGATCATATCTTCAAACAAAAAGGACTGAGCATGCATAGCCTGAAAACCAGTAAATTTTTCATAACAGTTACATTTTTCAGTACTGGAAACCTGTAAAATACTGAGTTTAGATATCCAACAATTTACTTTCTTATAGCACATGTAAAAGGAAGAGATTTTATGATACATATTATTAATAAAATATATTTTTCATGTAGATTCTAAGCTACAAACAATCGCACAAGATGATATTCAACTTTCGGATTATAATCCTGAGATTTGAATAACTTACATTTTGGAGTGATTGATAAACTTTTTTTTTCTTTCATTTTAGCGTGATGCTTCCATAACAAACATTTCTTAAAGTTTTTCTAAATTTGACATTAAGCTCTATGAAAGTGCTATACAATTGACTAAAATGGTAAGTAAAAGATAAGGAGCATCTTATAAACATAAACCAAAAACATTTTGGAATCAGAAGATATAGAAACTTAAAGGTAAACTAGATTGATGATTAAGATGAGTTTAGCTAAAGTGAGAAGACATTTTTCTTTCTTTTTTTAACTAATGATTTTTTTTTTCATATAGTTGCCCTTATCTGACAGAAGAAATTAGCCCTGCAATTCCAGCTATAGCTGTGGTACTTTTTTTGTTTGTTATGACTTCACTACTAAGAACAAGCTTCAGTGACCCTGGTGTTATCCCTCGTGCTACTCCAGAAGAGGCGGCTGATATAGAAAAACAAATCGGTAAGAATATGTTCGTTTTACATTACCTATAACGTTAATATTAGGTTTGAGTGAAATTGTGTAGGTTTGTATTGGCAACTTAACAATATTTGTAGATTCAATTGCTTCAAGAATTATACCAATTAAGTTAAAGAGTTATGACTGCTGCACACATATGCTCTTTATTTTCACCATGGTTTTTTCGTATTACATTTCTTTTGTACTTCTTCCCCTTTTGAACCTTTGGTGACTTGTTCATTGTATCATCTGTCATATAAAAGATGTTTATATTGCTTGCATCAAACTAAATACATTCTAATATCTATGACCTTGATACTTCATGTGCCTTATTTTATCATAATGATAAAATGAATTTAGGGTTACATTTCATCAAGTTTACCATTTGGCTATGTCTTTGGTATCCTGGCCACATCCATAGTACTCTGTTGAGGATATCTTGCCCGCTGGCATATGGACAAATACAAAGATTTTATTAATGTCATATTGCTTTATTTTCTAATTTTGAATTCAGTTTGCCTCTGGTTGTGATTCTTCAAACAAGATGTAATTTCTATCAGATGAATTATTCTCTATGACCTTATTATTTAAAATTTGGATCCACATCTGTGTTGTGTTTACAATCCAGATATTTCCATACAGCCCAACATCTTTGTTTATGATTCTACTGGTGTATGAGGTTAAGAAATTATTTGATTGTTAAAAAAAAAATCATACCTCTAAAACGAATACTCACCTCCACACATAGAATAGCTTATTCTTCTCTTGAGTTTGTGCAATTTGCAAAAGAGGTTTGCAAGCCACCAGCCTTGTGAAAACTCCCACCTAATATCATGTGAAAACACATGTGCCACTGCATGATAATGTAATCATGCAGCAGAACCCTCCATGAATAGGAGTGTGACACACATCCATGCACAGTGATGCCCTCTACATTCATGCTTGTGAATCCACATTATTTTTCTCACCACTGTTATGTACACATGTGTTTGAGATTGAAGAGATTTGCCACTTCTTCAATTTTCAGCTTTCACACGTTTGAGTTTAGACATACTCAATGTGAAATCAAAGTTTCATGTGAACTCTTCTGCTGATGTGAGTGACGATATTATTCATACTGAAGAAATTACCAATAATTTGGTGGGAAGTTATTTTTCTGTGGGAGACCTGGCAGCCATTGTCCAATGTGCGGTGGGGTCCATAATGCAGCCAGGAACTTCTGCTTCAGTCCTTTCCACTCACTTCCCTTACCCTTCCATTGAGCCTTAAGGTGAAGAAGATGGATTTGAGCAAATTTTTCCACCTCCAGCTTTTGCTTTGGAAATATCCTTTATACTGAAAAACAGCCTCAGTCTTCCTTAGATTGTCAAAACCTTATTTCTCAGTATAGTTCTTTCTCTTTCATATCGTTTGACTTTTCTCGTTCTTTTTTTTAAACAACCCTTCCTATTGCACTTTCCTTCCTCCCAGACATTGCTGTACATGCTATTTCCTTTCTAAATCAACTTCATTCCCACAACCTTATTACCAGTCAATGTCTGTCTCAGAATGCCATCGAATCTATCACTCATCCTTCTCGAAATTTTTATTCCAGGCTGTTCAACCGATTTTGTTCCCCTTTAGTGACTTTTTGCCACAGATCTTTGGGATATTCAGGTATTATCTCAGGGACATGTCATCCACTTCCTTTCCCCTCCTTTGCTGTCTCAGGTACCAATATCCTTTCCATTGCCTCAGAATCTTACCACCAGTCAATGTCTGTCTCAGAATGCCATCAAATCTGTTATTCGAGGCTGTTTGTGGTACTGGGGGCTGGTGGCATGTGATCAATTTGTGGTTCTATTCTGATTTACCATGGAGCCTTTTCTCATCATCATGTGGAATTTTTCTCTGGGTTTGTGGATGACCAAGGTAGACATTGCGAATGCTTACCTGCATGTTCTAATATCTCATCTGTCAAGGTGCTATCAATTTCGTGCCCTGCCCTTCGGGATTGCTTCAGCCCCATGTATCTTTTGTCAGGTGGTCAAGGCTTTTGCCCAACATTTAGATGCTTGGACGTTGCACTTATATCATTACATGGAAGCCTGGCTTCTGTTAGCTTGTTCTAGATGGGAGTACTGCCCATCACACTCATCTACTGCTCCTGCAAGTCATTCCATATACCTACACAATATCTTGTCCACTGGTGTGTCTTTTTCAACCCTCATCTCAGTAGGACCCAACCTTCTTCTCTTTGACTTCATCCGATGGAGCTTTCAGTTCTCCATGCCCTTATTGTTCCCTCTATTACAGCTCATGAGGTTCTATCGCATTTGGGGATGTAGTCTGCTAAGGAAGCTCTTATCTCCTTGGGTCGAGCACATATGAGGTCTCTTCAGTAGGGTCTGCATGACCAGTGGAATCTTGTGTGGGATCCATTAGAGGCTCCTTCTTCCCTTGTCAGTGATCTGCATTTATGTTTGGACAGGGCTCACACATCAGCAGGTATTCTGCTTCCTCCCCCTCATCCGGATTTGCAGGTCTTCACAGATGCTTTCCTTTAGGGCTGGGGGACATGGGTCAATCAGCAGGAAGCTTCAGGTCAGTGGTCTCCAACCAAAAGATCTTACCATATTAACATCCTGGAACTTCTGGCTGTATGTTGTGCTTTGGATCATTTACTTCAACTTGCCAGGAATCGTCTGGTCATGATCTATTCTGACACTTCTATGGTGGTTCCTTATATCAATCACCAGTGTGGCACCCATTGTCATTCCCTTTGTGGTCAAACATTGGATCTCCTTTTTTGGGCTCACACGCTTGTTATTCCTCTCCTGTGCATGCAATGGTCTGGGTACATTCAATCTTGTGGTGGATCATCTTTCCCACCCTGACAAAGTTTATCCAATGGAGTGGTCTTTCAATCTTCATGTTTTCTAGTGGCTATGCCTTCAGTGAGGTACTCCTCACCTGGATGCATTTGCCACATCCCTCAATACCATGTTCTGTGTGTTTTGGTCTCCCATGCCTTATCCGCTTGCACTGCTTTTATTCAGGATTGGAGCAACAAATATCTGTATGTTTATCCTCCCATCCATATTCCTCTCAATGTGATTTTGATCATCCATACCACTCTGTATCAAGTCCTTCTCATTGCTCCTTACTGGCCATCATAACTGTGGGTTTCAAGGCAGATTCAGCTACAATCTGTCCCTCCATTACCTTTTCCTCTCTCTCTCCATCCCTTTTACATCACCCTTGGTCACCAGCATTCCATCTGGCTCATCATATCCTCTGTCTTCATGTCTGGTTTTTATCTGATCCCTGGCCAGAAGATTCTGTTTGTCCCTGTGAGTTGCTTCTTTTTTAGCTTATTCTATTTGCCCTTCCTCTAGGGATATTTTGGATTGTAGTTGATTTACCAATGCTTTGATCCCCATCCCTCCCCTGAGTGGATGCTGTTTCTTGGTGGCTGGTTTTTTGGATGCAGTTGACTTGCTGTGTATCGTCCACCATGCCCTAGTCACTCTACACCTAAGGGCACATCCTTTTACTCTCACCCACATTAATGTACTCTATGGGATTGAGATTCCGATATATTATGGTTTGGATCCCTGTCCAACCATTGTTCTCTCCCATTTGGATGTGCTTCTCCTATTTTTTGCTCAAGTCTGTTGTACCTCCATCCACACTGGGTGAAGAGTATACCTGATACCGAAGTGGTGTGGTCTCCCAAGTATGATCCTCTAATGGGAGGATCTACTCTTTCTAGGGAGTTCTTCATGTGCTTTTGAGGAATGCTTCTTTGTTTTCCCTCGCACCAGTCCCTCCACCTATTCAATGTGGTATTCTAGCTATTTATAGTAAGTTGTAATTTTCTTATACTGAAAATATATATCCACTTGGTACTTACCTCATCTCACACTTCCCATCCTTCCTCTCCACTGAAAACTGGTGCTTCAATTTTCTGCCAAAACTTGATGGGATTGTTCCGTAGAATTGAATAGAGGGAGAAAAGTGTCAGGAGAGTGTGTCACGCTCCTATTGGTGGAAGGCTGTTGTATGATGTTTTACATGTGAGACACAGTTGAACCATTTGATTGGAAGGTACATGAGAGCTCAAGGCTTGTGGCATGCAAAAATAGTTTTGTATATAGAGGGCAGCACTGAAGGAGAATAGCTGTTTATGGGAGAGGAGGTAAGTATCTATCGGAAATATATTTTCAGTATTGGAAAATTATAATTTCCCATTCCTCAACACCCAGTCTTTGAAGTCCTTGCCAATTTGGGGGACAGATTCATTATCATCTGTTTTCCAATCTAATGCTCAATTTTCCTGACTTCACTACCCAACTTAGATACTCATCCTCCATTCACCTTATGATGAAAGTACTTCACTGTTTCCCCGATGACTTTTATGGGGACTCTTAGAGTGCTCCTCTTTCTCTTCTCACTTGGTTTCTTTGTTGTTGGGACCTTTTGGGAAGAGATACCCCACTTTCTGAAGTCTGTCTCTCTTCCTCTGGACGTTTCTTTTGCCACTTTTCTTTGTCCAGAGGTTTTTGGTAGTGTCCCTGATTCCATGGAATCATGGTCTGAAGCTGTCCACCATCATCTTACTTCCCTAGTTTCCTATTTGTCCCAACTTTGTCATTCAATTTCTGTCCATCATTGTTCCCTTCTTCTGCTCCCCATTCTGTTCCTGTATCACAACCTTTCACCTTACTTCATCTAATGTCTCACTTGCCAGACTAATTGCTGATGGCCATCCAGTCAGTTTGAGATCTGTGGGAGCCTGTCTGCCTTTGTTTCTAAACCTGTGGACACAATTTTCTACTGATAGATGGGTTACTCAAGCTCTTTCCCATGGTCACACAGTTTTGGATGGAGAATTTTTTCACTCTCCATTGGTCTTTCCAACTTGGCCTGACCAAGTTGATATATCAGATGCCTTTCCCCACATCCCAATCACTCTGTCCTCATGATGTTATGTCCAATTTGACCAATGAATTGCATTATCC